TTTACAGCACTCTTGGAATTGGTTTTCGTGTGCACGGCTTCCTGGCTTGACCTCTTCTTCCCTTCTCGGTCTCAGGCGCCCATTTTCATCTCCTTCTTCTTCGCCCTGCGCAAAATGGCAGAGTGTCCCGTTCCCAGCATGCAGACGGGGGGCCTGTTGTGGTTCACGGATCTCACCGTCGCGGATCCTTACTACATACTACCCGTGATGGCAACTGTCACCATGTGGATTGTTATGGAGGTAAGGCTTGGTTATGGTGCTAGGCCAGAAACCGTGATGCTGGGAATTCTAGTTCCACCGTAAGCATGAAAGCTGGCTGGGTGACTTTGGGCCAATCGCCAGGCTACGAGGAGTTCTAGTCCAGTCATGCAGGAAAAATGACTGGGTGACTTTACGCTGATCACCAGGCAACAGAGAGTTCTAGATTTGGGCAATTTGAAAGCGAAGTCTGGTTAGATTTTGCTTCCGCTTAGCGATTACTTAAGAGTTCATCCAGATCTCTTCCTCCACCCATCACGATTTTGGTAGGCATGAGAAAGGATTAGAGTTTGTAGCTATCCAGCCATCACACAAGCAAATAATTCAGGATTCATTTATAGAAGAAACGTCTTTATATCCAATAATATAAGACATGATGCATGTATACAATACCCATGCAGCTCTTGCAACATGGTAGAGAGGAGAAGTAGCTAGTATAAGAACAAGAAGCCAGAAGATAGAACCATCATGCAAGGACAAACAAACTCTTGTATACACAGAACAGTTAAGCTAAGCCACGCACAGGTTTCAAGCCATCTCATATGGCTCACAACAAATCCTGTGTCTCAGTCACCAAACAGTTCCCATTGGCTGATTTCTTGTTATGGCTATTCCAGAATAGAATAGAATAGAATAGAATTCTTTATTGGTCAAGTGTGATTGGACACATAAGGAATTTGTCCTTGGTGCATATGCTCTCAGTGTACATAAGGAGAATAAAATATATTCATCAAGAATAAAAAGATACAACACTTTGTGATAGTCAAGGTTACTAATAAGCTACCAAATCGTATTAGGAAACAAATAAAAATAATGTAAATTGAAAGATACAAGCAACATGGTTATAGGCCTAAGTGGGAAGAGATAGATACTAGGAAGGAAGAGAAAAATAATACTAATACAATCTTAGTAAATTATTTGACAGTGTTGTGGGAATTAGTTGTTAAGCAGAATGATGGCATTTGGGGGGAAACTGTCGTGTCTAGTTGTTCTGGTGTGCAGTGTCCTATAACATCATTTTGAGGGTAGCAGGTGAAACAATCTGTGTTCAGGATGCGAGGGGTCTGTAGTTATTTTCACAGCCCTCTTTTTGACTTGTGCAGTATACAGGTCCTCAATGGAAGGCAGGTTGATAGCAATTGTTTTTTTTCTGCAGTTCTAATTATAATTTCGTATATACTGACAGAAAGCATTTCTCACCATATAAAAATCTAGCCAGATCTTGGCTAAGGATTGAGTGACTCTCCATTTATCTGAAGCCTGGCTTTAGCTGGATCTTCGGCCCGCTTGTTTCCCGGCAGGCGAAATTGAATGTCAAAATCATCCTGGTGATGATGGGAATGAGGACTGGGGACAGATACGTGAAGCAGGAAGAATTGAAAATTGACCAAAGGTCCCTGGATATCACCTATCTATTTCTTTTTTTTTTCTTCTTCTTCAGGTTGGGATGCAATCAGGACCTCCAAACCCAAACCTGGAGCTAATGAAAAAGATGTTCCGGGTGATGCCAGTGTTCTTCCTTCCTTTCATCATTTCCTTTCCAACGGTAAGAGGCATTTGAGAGGGTTTCTACAGGGAAAGCCGGTAGATTTTTTTTTTTTTTTTTTACGTTTTTTATTAGATAAACGTTAAAAG